ATTAAATAATAAGTATTTTTTTGTCCTTAATATTATTCGAAACATAGCAGCAGGTGGTATTAAATAAAACATAGGATCTTGTGAAGTCTATCGAACAAATCAATGTAAGCTATATTTATGTCACATTATAGAATATATTCAAATGAGATTAATTATATACTATATAGAATGTAACTTTATATGCAAACGATATTTATAAAAAATACAAATTCAATTTAAACTCATGATTAATAACGAAAATATTTACTAAAACAATAAAATTATTTTGTTCTTATTGTTTTTTCAATGACTAAATGTATTATTATATTACCAGAAAAACAACAAGATTATACATGACTTTTAAATATTTCTTCGATATCTTTATGATCTTTTCATTGTTATGAAATCATAGAAGTCTTTTAAGATAAAAATTTTTATTTGAATATATATGAAATAAAATTTTCTAGCAAATGTTATTTTAAAGCAAAGAAACTACAGATAAGGTAGTCCAAAATATTCGTTTATTGAATTATACATCCGTTGTGGTTTTCCTTGTTTATTTAATCGTTGAATTTCAGCAGATGGATAAAGAAATTCTTTCAAATTATCTTGTTGAGCTAATTTTTCTAACATAAAAGCAGCTGCTTGCACCATTCTTTCATATGCAAATACATTTATATTCTGAATTGAATCACAAGCTTGATGATAACATGGATCTTGTATAGCACCGGCAACACCACCCATTCCTTGTCCAAGTATTTGATCATAACGATCACGTTGTTCAAAGGATTTTCTTTCGTCTGCACCAGAAAATAAACCACCAGCAACTATACCTTTAGCTAAAAAGGGTCCATAATCACTTCGACCACTAAAATCAGTATAATCCCATGGTAGTTTCTGTTGTTCAAACCAACTGCGAAAGAGAGCAGTGATTTTATTACTTCCTGGAAGAGCTTGAGGAGGTGTATTAGGATTTGCTGATTTACCATCATAAATACCAAAGATATAATTAGGTGACCCAAGCATATCATAATTAAGATTAATTAAATAATCTTGAAGTCGTTCACCAACAGTTGTAGCATTATCTGCTTGTTTAACATGAAAATCAGAGCCAAGAAGTCCAACTTCTTCTGCACCCCACCAACAAAATCGAACACGATATTTATATTGAGGATACGTAGATGTTTGAAAAAGTTTAGCTAAAGCAATAGCAAGACCAAGATTAGCTGCACTACCACTACCTGAAAGATAGATAAGATATATAGATTAGTGAATTATCTCTTTCTCACTGTCTTACCATTATCATTAATACCAGGACCAGCAGGCACACTATCACTATGACTTCCAATAACAATCGTTTGCGTAGCATCACCTGTAGGTGTATCAGCACAAATATTGCCAACAGGATATCTTGATTCATCAGCCATAGTAATAATAAGTCGGACGCCAACATTTTTTAATGGATCTTGAGCAGCATCAACAAGTTCTTGACCAAGAGTGTAAGAAAGAAAAAGTGCTGGTATTTCATTATCTTGACCAAGGTTAGTAACTATAGGTGCTACATTACCAGTTGCACCATCATTATATGTTAGAAGAGCAGCAGCTTTGTATTTTGTTGCCAATAAAGCTTTTTCAATAAAACTACAAGTACCTCGTTTAACTAATGCTACGCGACCATCGATAGGAGGAGTTGCAGAAGTCCAATCACTATCACTACATCCCAGATTTGGAATAACAGTAATTGGAATATGACTAGCAAAATTAGCTGATCTTGTATATTGAACAATAGCAAATTCTGATGCTGAAAGAGTAGTTGAATATGTACGATTTCTTTCAACACCACTAATTGATGTTAATAAAATAGGATTTCCAGCAGGAACAAAGTTTCTTAAATAAAAAAAACTTTTTTGTAGTTTAAAATTTGTATTAAGTGTAAGAGAATTATAAATGTAATCAAGTGTTTGATTAAAACCACGTGTATTAATAGCTCGATTACCATTTGCACCGGTTGCTATAGTTTGTAATTCATTAAGATGTTTCATTACATCCGAGAATTGAAGTGATTCCACATATTTAGAATTGAATGGTGGTGCATCTGTAGTTGTTGTTTCTTTTAATCGACTATTAACAATAGCCAATGTAGCCGCAGCAAGACCAACACTAACAAGTATTAAAACAATTCCAGCTAAGATCGCATACAATAAAACCTTAGCACTTCTCTCCATTGAAAATGTAATATCGTTTTGAATAACAGCAGTCACTGTTTCTTTTGAAACTCAATTTCTATTCATATAAATGAGAGCTTCTTATAAAAAATTGTCCTACATAAATACTGAAGAATTTATCATTGATGTTTCTTTATCAGACAATATAAAGTATAGAATTATTGCTTTGTTATTCTCTTTCAATACATTTATTATGGTCAATTACTTCAGTTGAGTATTCTTCAGTATAAATAATGTTCTTATTAAACCTTGAAACTGTTGCTATAAAATAATTACAAATTTTTATATACAAAAAAAAGAAGCTTGAAATGTTTATGATGATCCTTTGTGATCATATAAAAAAATATATTCAAGTTTTATCAGTAATAATACTCTTATCAAGTTATTTGAATTTGTGTAGTCATCATAGTTGAATTGAAGAAAAGTAACTAAGGCGATAATCGATGTATCAATACTATTTAAAAGAAAGTTAAAGTGAATGATGGTATACATAGAGAATAGCTCGATGCGTTTTATACTGCATAGATTGATAAAGTAGAAGAACTATTAACATTCTTGTCTTTTTTCACTTAAATCATATTTCTTGACGGTGTAAATTTTTTAAGAAAGAATTAATATATATATTTGAATCAGGACAAATACCTCTCTGATTTAAGTATACGAATTAACGATATCTCTTATTCTATAATTTGATATACTTTATTTTGTAAAAGAGAGTCTATAGCCGTTATATACATTGTCTTCAAATGATTTTTATATAAACGTTATATTTTTTACTTTAAAAGAAATGTTGAATAAAACGATTTAGTAACAAGGAGTGTTATAAATAAAAGTTAATAATTTGCTGTATAATTAATAATACATGATAATATTATTGTGAAAAACCATGTATTCAATCACAATTGAATAACGTTAAAGAGTATTTTGTTGTATTCTTTTTCTAGTTGTTTGTCATTTTTGAAAATTCGTTTTTGATTGGTAACATATTCTATCAATATGATACAAAAATATAAATAGTCAATATCGGAAACGTCAAGCTTATGAGAAAAAAAACATTTTATAATAAAGAATGATTTGTTTCAACTAATATATCCAAAGTAAATTATACAAGTTCATATAAATATCATTTTATTTTATTATTAAGATGCTATAAAATATTATTGTTTTCATACAAAAAGTGTTTTTTATAAGCAAGATATTTTCGATTTTATTACAAATAACATTTTTTCATTATAGGAACACAAACAATTAGAAATAAGGTAATCTAAAGTATTCATTTACAGAGTTATATTTTCGTTGTGGTAATTCATTATTAGAACGTGTAGGTCTACCACTTGGATAAAGCCATCCGCTCAGATCATCTTGTCGAGCTAAACTTTCTAAAGCATAAGCAGCTGCTTGTACCATTTTCTCAAATGCAAATACATTTATATTCTGAATTGAATCACAAACTTGATGATAACATGGATCTTGAAAAGCACCAGCAATGCCACCCATTCCTTGACCAAGCATTTGATCATAATAATCACGTGTTTCTTGAGTTTTGACATCGTCACCACCAGTAAATAGACCACCAGCAACTATACCTTCGGCTAAAAAGGGTCCATAATCACTTCGACCATCGAATTCAGTATTATTCCAAGGTAACTTTTGTGTATCAAACCAACTACGAAAGAGAGTAGTGATTTTATTACTACCTGGAACAGCTTGAGATGGAGTATCAGGAGCTACTGTTTGACCATCATAAATACCAAAGATATAATTAGGTGATCCAAGC